AATGCGTTTTTGGGGTAAATTCATTCTTTTCTTCTTTCTAGAACATCCTACATAAAGACAATTATTTTTCCGATTAAAGAGAGGAAAATATAAGTTTTTGGGTTAAATACTTTTTTTTTCTTCATCAAACATGTAACATAAAGTCAAATAGTTTTTCTAAATACGAAAGGGATGAAAAAATGCATCATTTTTAAACATATGATTGTAATTTTTGCAGTTATTCCCCCTCTAAAAAAATAAACAAAAACAAACAAATAAAGTAATGTCTGGTATCACTGGTTCTTTATGCAAGGCACTTTTTCATGTCTTTGGGTTTTCAGTTTGGTCGGGATTTTTACCCTCATTGGCGCCCTGCTCCATATTCTCCAATTTTTCTGTCTCCGGGGGGTTCACCTCCTCTTTTCTCTCTTCTTCCTTTTTGTCCTTCTTCTTCTTCTTGCTCAAGCTGTTGGGTTCGACTTCGGGCGCTGGGTGGCACACCTTCTCGCAATCCTGTAGGAGCCTTCTGTGCTTCCTCTTGACGTGGCTTTTGAGTGTTGTCAGGGACTCGCTCCGGAAGCTGCAGGAGGAGCAGTACCTCGGACGTTCCCCTGTGTGCTGTCGCTGGTGCATCAACAGCGAAGAGGGATTCTGGAACATCATCCTGCACACGGGGCATCTGAAGGTCTTCTTGGGCCTCCCGCGAGTCTTATTGGTCTGGATAGAGAAAAAGAAGGGATGTTATTATGGCGGACATGATTGTCAAAAAAAAGTCCAATGGTGCATGGAAACTATTAGAGGAGTGTATTCACAGATTCCTTAAAAATACACAAATGGAGAAAAGGGTGCACAGTCTCAAGCTCAGGTTTTTATTGTTTTTCCAAAACACTTGGTGAGCCAAGGACACGCCTCCAGTAAAATACTTACATTTGCAGCCGACGCTGCATTGCTGCAATTCTCGTCCTTGGCCAACTCCGCTTTCCTCTCGCCTTCGGATGTCTCTTCCTTCCCTGGACCTTCTTCTGGCTGTGGTGGATCTTGAGGCTGAGTTTCTGCCACCGCGATATCCATTGAAAAGCCTTCAAAGGAGGACGACTTTCTATGAGGGGGGATGCTTTCATTGGGCAGGGTGGCGTCCATGAGGGACTCATTCGGAGCGGAGGAGGCGGCACTGTTATCCGCTAAAGGGTTCTGCTGCACGATCTGCTGTTCTGCTGTGCTTGGCGGCATGCTTGACGGCCCTTCCATAGATTTTCCATAGACGGCCCTTGCACACGCCTTCCACAGACGGCCCTTCCATAGACGGCCCTTCCACAGACGGCCCTTCCACAGACGACACAGGAGCCCGATAAGAGGAGGGGCCAGACTCGGCCAACTGGAAGTCAAGAGATCGCCTATTGTCCAATCCTGGAGCAGCAGGAGTCAGTACAGGTGCCCCAGCAATGACCTCAGCAACATTATCGGGAAGCTGAATGATAATCCCCGTGTCCTTAACCTCAACGGGTTCATTCCACTTCCAGTGGAGGGAGCTCTTCCCGGAGGGGCTCGGACGTTCCTCATCGAGACCATTCGCGTGGTCTTGGCTCCCTCCTGGCTGATTTGTGACATCTCTATCAGAAGATGGAGAATATGGATAGAGTAAAGAGAGCCGTCTCCCTCTGCTACATCTGCCGCGCCGACCTCGACCGGAAGGGGAGTGTGGAGATCTACCTTGCGAAGACAAGATATTATTGACAATAACTCTCGGTTGCTGACTCAGTTTTCGATCCATGCGGATGCTAACATTTCCGGCGTCTGAGGAGGGGGTGCTCTGGCCGAGAGCGTTGAATATATTCCTGTGAGGCGGGGGCGTGCCATACCCATGGCCTCTGCTGGACTTCTGGGTCAGGGGAACTCTGTCCGGGACGGCATTGGGCATCATCCGTGGGTAAGGTGTTTGTAGCCTGTTCCTTTGGTTCTGTTGTATTCGGGGAACACTGTTGATATTTGGTGCCATATATCTAGGTCCTGGGTAACGCTGACTTACTGAATGTGGCCCCCTGGCCCCGCCATGGGATCCCCTAGGCCCTGGATACCGCAAGTCGCCCTTTGGAAAGTAGCCATGCCCCTGGAGTCGCGGAGAAGCCTGGAATGCTGGCATAAGATTCCTCTTCGGCGGCACAGGAGGCTTTGGAGGCGACGTCCCGATAATGACAGGGGCGTCTGTCTCGTCAGTCCTCCCCTGTGCTGCGAGAGGTGCCTTGCCAGCTGTTGATTGGTCAGCTGCAGAGACTGTAACGTTCTTGGAAATCTCTTTGGCTGGCGTGATGGAGATGTTCTTGCTGGAGAAGATCCAGGCCGGGACTTGTAGCATGCTCATAGCGTTCCCAGTTATTTTGGTGCCACATTTCTCCAACTTCTGCCTGAGCGTTTCTGCTTCGAGTTCTTCCGGACTCAAGGTCCTTCCCTCCTTAGTCTCCGACCGCTCATCGCTCGATTCCTTCACTCGGGCCGATTTTGCTTCTCCTTCCCTCCGACACGAGCAATGGCAGCAACATTTGCTCTGTTCTTTCGTGCCTGTGTTCTCCTCGTTCTTCCGTTCACTCGCCTGCTCTCGGGAGTGTGTCGCCCCGCAGTTTCGTCCGTCTCCCGAGTGGCCGCCGATCGCCTTGGGCTTCTCTGTGATTTCGAGAGACGCTGGAAACTTCACATTCGGCAGCAGGATGTTCCGGGACGTCTCTCCTCCTCGGTCGCCTCCAGTCACCCCCCCAGTCTCCCGTCCCTCCGAAAAGGACGCGCCGCAGGGGGTCGCGTTCAAACTCCTCGTCAGGTTCGTCTCGAGGCTCTTCAACCCGGGCGTCTGAAGGCAGTCGATCTCCAGCCTGCGGGCCGCGCACAGGAACCGCAGCAGCTTGCTCTCCTTCAAGATCGCCAGGTTCCCGTACATGTAGTCCAGGAGGTGCGCCATGCTGTCTGCGTCCACGTCCTCCACACACACCACGCTGGTGGCTGCCTCCCCTGCCCTGGGCGACAGTGCGCGGGCCAAGAACCTGCTGAAGTGCGCCACGAGGAAGCGGTGGACACGGAACACGTCGCTCCTCACCACGATAGATACGTCCGCCGTCGAGACCTGAGGAGGCAGGAATTAACGAATCATTTCTGGGACGTGGCAGAGCGATTTGAGTCTCCGTTAAAATGTTCATCTTCCCATTCGCTCTTCACAAAGAAAGGCGGAGGGAGGCATTCG